AGAGAGAGAGAGGGATAAGAGAAGTATTACTACTTAAAAATATACTAGAAAACAGTTTTTAAGAACCAAGGCTTGGATTGGGACTCACTAGGGTCAAGCCCAAGACACCCAGTTCGACTTGGCTGAGTCAGAACAAGACCCGACCGGTCGAGGCTGCAGAACAGTTTAAGAAACTAAGACCAGTTTAAGAACACACTCGGTTGCCAAGACTGGAAAACCCCCAACTTCGGGGATATTAAAGTGCAACTATACTCAGGCAAGTTACTACAGCAACTTGCCCGAGCCACTGCATGGGTTGACAAGTTCTTTGCCTAACTCGGAGAGTCGGTAGAACTCGCCAACATTCGACAATGTTTCTAAAATATAAAGGGGGGCCAGAAATTTGAACCCATTTTTCACATTTCTCTTCATTCAAGGCTTGGATTGAGTCCAAAATTCAGGTTTATGCTTGTTTTTACATGATATGTTGATAGGATGTATCGTAATTTGAGAAAATTTTGAGAGTTCAAAATTTAGACCCAAGTCTTGGCTGAATTTGAAAAGTTGTAATTTCTTTGCAACCAATGATCAACATTGGATGAAAATTGTTTCCTAAGCCTATTTTTAGGTTCTTTATCGAATTATAGGCTTGTTTATCACAAAACATGACTAAAAATGTCAGATTTTCATAATTTGTATATTAGATTTGCTATCTACCCATGAAATTCAAAAGCTTGGATCAACTAAATCCAATTTCAAACCCAAATTGAGTTTGGGGGGTTTCAATTTGAGATACTTGAGAATGTTCTAGCAAGGATTTTCTATCAAATTTGGTTTGGGGGTTTCAATCATAAAGGATTTACATTCACATTTTTACGTTCATAAATTAAATTTTCTATATTATTAACACTTTATGATTTTCTTTATTTTCTATTTCTTATTATGTTTCCAGAAATTTTTTATTTTTTTCCAGCCTTTTCAGACAGGGAAAACTCAGTGAGCCAACACGGGTCTCGCCGAACTGACTCCCTCAGGACCGGGCCCGAGTTCCGCCTCAAAGCCACGTTTGCCAACACTAAAAGAATGAAAAAGAATATTAAGAATAAAACAGAATATTAAAAACAAGTGAGACTCGAGGTAAACCACTAGGTTTCGTCTCAGGACTCGGCAGGGCCCCAATCTGAGCCAACTCGGGTGAGTCCTGAATCAGCTTGGCAATCTTTTTAATGCTGATAAAGAATAAAAAAAAGAGGAGGATAAGAATAACCAGAAAGAATCAACTTCAGTTTTGCACCAACCTGCAGGACCAAGATTCCCCAGCATTGACAAAGGGAATGGAAATCAACCCAAAAGACTGTTGAATTTTCCTGATACTGTCAGAACCCATTTGGAGTTCATTGTTCTCAGATGATCCTGAAACTCCAAGAAGCTCGACATGGTTGGCCTCTGAAGAGATGGATTCCATATCTCTAAGGCTAACTAAGCCACCTCTTGTGTCCACAAGGTTGATCTTTATCTCTCCTGAATAAATTGCATGCCCCTTAGAAATTACATTGAGAGAAACCGGGAAGTTTTCCCCAACCAATGCAGGCCCAGGTGTGGTTAAGATAACATCTACAAGAGGGTCTGGCTCTTCCACCTGTATGAGTTTTTGACCAGAGAAAGAGAGGCTGGGATCCTTAGTTGGAAGGGTTTCAACCCTGTCCTCAAACTTCCAAAGAGGCAGATCTTCCATTGCAGCAGGACTTTCAGCTCGACAACATATGGAGAAGTGGCGCCCTATCCTCACAATGATGGATAAGCATTCAAGTTTGCCACTCTGATCTGCTATGATCACAAAAATTTGTCACCACACTAAAAAGAAAAACAAAGATATATTGAGTTGACAACTGATTCCACGCTGTAAAAAAAAAAAAGAAACAATTGACATAACCAGGTACAACATGAACAAGAAAGAGAAAATCCTAACAATAAACGATAGAAGATAACAACATATAGAAACGTGTATAATATGGAGAAAAAACAAGGTGTTGATTGAGATATTAAAACTAAGGTAAATAATAAAATATGTGAGAACCAGAGTATAACATGTGAATTAACGCGTTTATACACAACCATGTGCATGCACGTGCGTGGGTGCACACATGAGAAAGACTAGTTTTATTTTCATGTCACATGCTGAAATTTGGATGTTAGAATGGACCCATTTCTGTTTCGAGCGGGCACAAGAATCCAAGGTTTCAAAAGACACGAGGAGGCCCCGAGGTGGCCTGACTGGTGCCCAGGGGCTAGGTGGGCGCCCAGAACCTCGGGTGCCCTGTAAGTTTTTTCACTTTGGGGGTTAAAAATAAACCCCATAATGTTTTTATACAACCTTGGGGGTCAAAATGCCCCCTTTGCCCTTTTGAGCGATTTAAAAAAACGAAAAAAGGCCTTACGGCCTTGGGCGCCCGCCCAGATACATGCACCCGTGTAGGGCTGCCTAGGTCTAGGAGTGCGGATTTTTGGTCCAGGCCGCCTAGGCGCCAGGCAGACCGTTTTTTAAAACATTGCAAGAATCCATTTACAATCAAAGCTTGACAAAATCTTAAATAATGCATGAGTATGCAAGATGTCAAAAAAGTGGAATGTGCATAAAGGTTTCCAATTGACTTACCGGATTTGATGTCATATGTGAATCGCCGCCATTTGTTTGTTTCAAGCTTTAGAACCGAAACTTTCTCAACTCTCACATTGTCACCCTCAGGAAAACTTTGGTGACCTTGAGAAATCTGCTCATTGCAAATGATAAAATTACAAGGGGACTGATTGAACTGAATTTCCAATTGATCAATCTCAACAGGATGTGGCAACTGTGATAGGAGTGATAGAGTAAGCATAGTGGGAACCCCTGGCTTAACAGCTTGCTCATGGAAAGCAACACAGGCCAGAAGGACTGCTCTAAGGGGGCTAACGAGATCAATCTCAAGGCACAAGGGATGATCTTCATTTATGTTGAGGCTATCATTAGACATCAAAGCTGATTCTCCTTTCAAAAGATTGAAAACCTCCTCACTTATTGTCACTCTTTGTGAAAAACTAGCAGGACCGATTAGCTCGTAGTCATGTTTATTATTGGAAGAGTCAATTTCATCATTATCAAGAACAGGCAATGCAGCTATTTCTAGAGAGTATTCAATGTAATCTTTTAGTAAACTGAGCCTTTTTGAGCACTCCCTCAAATAACCCAAGATCGCCCACAGCAAAGTAACCCAACCCTCTTGCCTGTAACGGCCTGCAATACTGTCAAATAGCTTTTTTGCACTACCAAAATCCCCAGAAGCCAAATACTCTCTTGCCATACGGTTGGCACAGTAAGATGCCATCCTTTGAGAATTGAGGGTGGTGTATAGATCAAAAGATTTCCGGAGAAGAGCAATTATCTCATATGAATCCTGGAACCTTTTTGCTTCTTCAATGGCATAGGCAATGTACTCTGCATCACTCAAACTGCTGAATACAAAATGTTGGGGTCAGTGTTTGAAAAGAAAAAGCATCAATGTAAACAGCTAGGAAAAAGGGGGAAACTACAGAATGATACTACATTGAAATAGATATAATGAATGTCCTATATGTAGGGAAAAAAGAAACAGAGAAAAGAGACTTCCATATTGCATTTGCAGAATTTATTATATTGCCCTAACTTTAGGGGTGTCCAGAATACTGTGGTGCTGGCAGTCGCATAAATTGTTGGCATTTTTGTTCTGCTATTATTGTATTACAGCACGTATACTATGCTCCCACGGGAGAACAGATGTACATCTACTCCCTCGGTTAGAAGACCCATTTTGGATGGATATTTTCAATCTGAAATTTTGGGAACCACTTAAGAATCACTAGATGATTATTCTTAAAATAAAATAAAATAAATTAATTTTGAGTTTTCTAACACTTAGATCTCACCCTATAAAATTGGGCAGTCTCTATTCAAACTTGAGACTTTTTTTTCAAGTGCATAGAGGATTCAATTAGGATTTTTTTTTTTAAAACTGAGGTTAATCTATGGGTTGAAGAGTTATATCTCCAAAATTTGGGCTCCTAATATTAATCCTAGATGGAGATGTACAGTACACTCCCATAAGAGCATAATATCTTTTGGCATTGTTTTAAACAGGTGCCAAATAAATGTTTCTCCAATATAAAAATACAAGTCTTATATTATACTCATCTAAAGCATTATGAAAAGAAATGGAGGTGAAAAGAAATGGAGGTGTTATGATGTACTCATCTGGGAAACTTACCTTTGCATTGCAAAGGTATCCCCTCGCTCAAGTAACAATGCGAATTGACCCACATATACAGATGGTACGACAGAGTCTGGGTTACTTTCGATTGCAGCAACCCCTTCGGGGCGTTTGAGTGTTTCTGACATGGACAGTTGGAAGCCCAGAGAAATTTTCTTCTCCCTAAGATAATGGGCAGCTAGCTGTTGAATTAGATTAAAGACAAGTATAAGCAGATTAAGATGGACACAAGCATTCTAGTATGTTATGTCATTAACCTTGCCATATTATAGTCCATAAAAGCTGAAAAATCCAATAAATTCAGAAAGTTATGTAGTACCAGTTTTTTTTTTTTTTTTTAAGTAATTATTTAGAACCGGTGTTGTAAAAGCGGTCCATAAAAACAAACAACTAGAAAAAAAACTAAAAGTTTGGTCAAAACCGGCCTGAAATGGCTGGCTCACACCAGTTTAACTGGATCGACTGGTCCAACCTGGCTGGTTCAGACAGGTTCGATGCCCACCCCAATTCGGGACCTATTCCCAGTCTAAAACAAGCCAGTTTGATACGGTTTTAATAACATTGAATTAAATTAAATATGAGAAATTTATTAAATCCAATGAAAAATTAATCATCCATAGCCCAAACTAAATAACGTTGAATGAATTAAAAATGGGCAAGGTTTCTAAAAGGTGTCAACCGTAAAAATGAAAGTAAAAAGCACCTCTAAATCTTGTAAAAGATGTATTTTCAGTGCCGAAACCTTTTCAATGGCCTAAAAAACTATTTTCACCCCTATTTATGGAATTTAAAACTACATAGATGGTGAAGATCGAGCAGATTAATTAACACCTGAAAATTTTAAAAATGGTTCAGATAATATATTAGAAAATGTACTATTTTTAGGACTTGAAATACTTTTTTTTGTATATCCATACATCTCGAGGTCGATCAATTTTAGGGTTTTTCCACATTTGGAAAGACCTTTACAGAGATTTTTAAGGTGTACCTTACTTCTACAGTATAAGGTTGACACCTTATATAAACTTTTTCCATTAAAAATTATCTATCAAAAAAATATTGGTTGACTTAAAAATCAACTCTCCTATCTCCTTGATGGTCTTTCCCAATTTCCTCTCATATGCTTCTGTGTGTGCAGTGGTTGCAGTTGCGCATCTCACGGGCCATGTACTACTGCAGATTAATTTGTTTTGAGTCTTACAGGCCATAATGAAACAAGATAGACAACAATAAAGGATTTCTTACAATAGTTTGAACAATAACAGGACATGTTCATAGTCCAAGATTCAAACCTGGTAATAGTAAGCTGGTTGTAGCTCCCACTCAGTAATCTGCCTCTCAGATGTCCCAGAAGGGGAAACTCCAGCGCTTGGAATTGAACTTGTTTCCAATAATTCTGCAAAGACTAAAAATTGTCTGCTCACCCACTCCCAGTGAAGGAGAACAGCTTCAGGAACTCCTATCAGCCTCTTGTACCATGCGGCATGCTTCCAAAACCACTGGATTGCTTCAAAAACCTTCCCACTATGAAGTAACAAAGTGGAAACCTTGAAATGAAGTTGCTCTGCCACTGCTTTTATCTCAACCAAGCGTTGAATTGGAGGCAACCTTGTTGTAATCCCAATCATCTGTAGATCACGCAAATCAACTCGGCAATGAACAACATGAAAATTAAAAACATCGTTCTTATTTTTCTCTTTTAACGGGAAAAAAGTGCTAGAACAATCGCTGTGGATCTAATTTTTCGGAGAGAATAACTAGTCTAATTTAAACAGTATAGACCCCCAAAATTTTAACATTTCCAAACTTACAGGCACTTTCTGGAAAAGTATAAAGGAACATCCACATATGTCACGTAGACTATTAATCTTTTTCAAGTTTATATACAAGTACAAACTTTATAATAAAAAAAGAGGAAAAAAAAAAAACCAAATTGGAGTAAAAAATTTATGCATGTGCTGACTTATTGTACCAAACATGTTTCCTAGATCTGCTCCTTAATAATTATCTTTTCATTGATTTTTAGTTTTGCTGTGCAAAATATATTTTCAAAATTTTTGCCTTTATTCACCCAACAGTTGTGACAAGTGACAAATTTCCTTAACAATGTATATGCAATTCAAAATTAATGTCTTTCCTTCTTTCTCTATTTCCAGGAGGCAAACAACCCGGAAGCTAAATTAATTAAACGAGACCACAACTGATTTGCAAGTGAAAAATTAGCAACTTCTAATGATACCAGTGACGCTTCAAAGGTGTGCAGCCTCTCTTCCACCAGGGAGATCATGGATACAAAACTTAGTCGAAAGTGGTCTGTATCTTGCCAAAAATAGTTTTACCCATGTAAATATAAATGCATACATCCTCAAGTAAGCCACAATAAAGCAGTATGTCTTTCAAATAAATACTTTGAATTTGCCATACACAAATAAGACTATCCACAGATTTTTGAAGATGTAGGACCTTTGGCCAGTTCCTTTTTATCCACTGTCAAGATGGTCTTTTATTTCCTTATGTGGTGTTTTTTCTTTTTGAAGGTTATGTTCTTATTATATGGTACTGTTTTCCATGTTAGCCATGTGGAAATGCAAACAAACAATGTAATCCGATTGCTATGTATACAATAAAATACTAAACTCATCTATCAATGAATAATACCAGTGTAGCAAATAAAGCCAATCACATGAATGGCCAATTTTCAGGGAAAACGGATAAGATACCTCATGTAAAGCAAAGTAGGCATTCTCATAATATTTCAAGGCCTCAACCCAATCTCTTCGAAACTCTGCATATACAGCAACCTGGTGTTCCAGATTATCCAAAAAAGATAACAAATAATCATTACCCACTTAACAAAAAACAAAAAAACACAAAACACCACATTGCTTTTCATGTGGAGTAATTCACTCCATATCCTAATTAATTCAGTATTTCTTTTCTCTTACCGTGTTTTCTGTTTTAAACTTTTAGAGTGGATAAAAATAAGTTAACAGTGCTAAGATTCTCATGTCAATATGAAATAACTTATCAAAATAGATAACATATTTGCCGTGAAGATAATCCATTACCATCATCAAAGCCTTTTCCCAACTAATTGGGATCATATAACTAAATATTTAAAAACATGTAGGAGAATGAGATAGCCCTGGCTCTTAACCCCAAAAAAAAAAGATAGGCCAAATATTGGGTAACTTTAGTTTTGCGAAATATATCTTTTGGTAAACAACATTGACTACATCATCGGCCAAAAGGAGTAATACCATTTTTCAGCATTATGATGTGTACATCTCATGGATTCGCACCATGAAAACATGTGCAAAATTATCAATCTAAGTGAACTGATAAAAAGAGATTATCAATCTAAAATTACAGGGAAATGAAGGAACATGCCTTGAAGCAATAACGGATATTCAACTCAGGGAAATTAAACGTCTTCTTTTCGATCCGGGTCTTGAGCCTGCGTCCTTCGTCCCTGTAATACGTAAGTGACAATTCCGAAAAGATGCTGGCCAATCTGCAAGATGCTTGAGATATGAGGTGACCAATTTGATCAAATTCTAAAGTTCGAGTTCAAATTGGAAGCAACTGCATCAAAATTTTACCTGCTGAGGGATTGCTTTACTTCCAATGGATCCTTTTGTGCATAAACAATAAGGTATTTGGCATCTATTTCTGCACGCTTCCTCAAAGCAATCATACGATCCTCATTGCCATCATCTGCTTAATAGAAAAGTTCAAGAACGTTTTATATGTGAACAAAACAAAAATACACGATGAATGGCCAATAATCACATCCTTTATAACCACATATCTCTGAAAAACTAGGTCTGAGCTTCCATTAAAATTCTAAATATATTGACTATGTCATGAATGTAGCAATCTTTTAGATTAAAACCACAGCCTTTAGAGAGGAAATGAGCAGTGTATAAACTTGGGAGACAAAAAGATAATAAAAAAGGGGAGAAAGAGAAGTGTGGGCTGCTTCTTAAAAGAAGTTGAAATGAAAAAATGCAACCAAGGTATGATGCAGAGTAAACAACGTGAAAATAATGTCTACAGAACGGATTTACTGTACTAACCCCTGGGACCTGTTTGCACCAGCACCACCACGAGTTTGATGTTTTGGACACGAATCACAACTCTGTTCATGAATGCCAAATGGCAATATCAAAACTAGACCAATAAAACTTTTGCACATCATGAGACTATCTGCACATTTAGCTATATAAGTAAGCCAATGCTTCTACGAAAAATAGACTTCTTTTGTATCAGAAAATCTATTTCAAATCATTTCAAGAGGATGAGAGACAAAAAGAGGGAGAGAGGTTCGTTAAGGTATACTTCATTTGAATCAGCAATTCATCACTCAATTGCACCATAGGACCTTGAATTATTTTGATTACTCGTTGATTAGTCCAATTCACAATTCTCATAGAGAATTTAGTATGATGTATTGCACTGATTCTCTTACATAGACCTACCCTTTTCTTTTCTTTTTTGCTCAATAGACCATTTATTTCAAGCAACAATATCATCCTAAGCACTTCAAAGGTTCATATCTATGAGTTAACCCAATTTTTTTACTTTTTCACACAAATTCTTCTTCACGTAATATGATAGTATGTATTATACTGATTCATAGACAAATTTCTAATCAATTGTTATTGGGTTTAACCAAATTTCCTCATTTTCTTATAATTAATCTCCCATTCAACCAAAACATGCAACTAACCCTTATTTGTGATGGTCCCTTGCACATTTGATACCACATATCAAGACCAGTCCTTTTCATTTCAAAATCACATCTAAAGAATAAAAGAAGCATATAAAGGATAAAAGAAGTCATCTTGCTAAAATAATAAGTGGAATCACTAACTCAATTCCCCAAATTAACCATTAATTGGGCCCAATTAACCATCTGTTTCCATTACAGCAGCTAAAAATCAGTGATATAATCCAAATAACTACAATCATGTATCATTTGGATTTTGGAATTTTGAGAAATATGTTAACGTTATATATATAAGGTAGATATCATTTAGAATTTTAGAGAGAGAAAAATAAGATCCACACTTTATTCCCCAAAAATATAGAAATTAGAGAGAGAGAGAGAAAAAGAGAGACGATCCATACTTTAGGTTTTCTATATCAGTGCAGACCTGAAGCCACTGTGTTGGGTCCCCGAAAACGTGATCCCAGTTAAATAAGGCGGCAACAACAGAGGGGAGACGGGTCCTGTGCTTGGAGAGCCAGTCACGCTTTATGAAACCACCGGGCTGTCGGTGAGAATCTAGGGTTTCCTTTTGCTTGGAAGCCATGAGAGAGATCTTCGAGAAGTCTGGTAAAGCCAGGGTGTTCATGGGTGGGGCTTCGGAGTGGAGGAAGCTGGAAATGGTGGGGTGGAGCTCTGGTACACCCACCAGAGACACCAGCGAGACCGGTGGGGTTCTCAATTCTTCAGGGTATTCCTCCATTGTTAATAGAACTGAGCAGCGAGTGCCTCAGCTCTCTCTCGCTATAGTGATTCAGCTCTCTCTTTCTCTCTCTAACCAGGGTTGTGGAATCCTTTCAGGCAGTGAAGTTCAAACTGGGTTGCAGAAGAGAAAGAGGGTGGGTTCCACTGGGCCAATGATCTCTCTCTCTCCTCTCTCCTACCTGAGATCTCTCTGTCTCTCCTCTCTCCTACGTGAGATATCTCTCTCTCTAAAGTACGCACCTGCGTACTCCTCCTACTCCTGCATGCGCAGTGTGCTCCCGTCGGAGCATATTGTATATTTGCTCTCATGTGCAATACACAGGAAATATAGGAAATATGGGAAGATGTTCGACTCCAAGAGTTTTCAATGAGACAAAATATATTATACTCCGCAGTAGTCTACTGTCCATTCGCCCTCTCTAATATAAGTATTAGAAAACTCTAAATTTCAAATTTTTTTCTATTGAGAATAATCATTTAGTTATTCATAGGTGGTTCCCAAAATTTATAATTTAAAAAAAGAAAAAATTTATATAAGTTTACACCCTTAAAATGTAGAATTAAGGTGCGTGTTAACGTTGAAGATCCCTCTAATTGATCATATTGACAATGAGATGTATTAATATAAAAATAAATAAAAAATATCGAGTCTCAAAAATAGTGCATCTCAAAACACATTATCTGGTTTTCAAGATTTCCATATATTTATATATCTACTTGATTTATATCATTTTTAGAGTTTAAAGTTCTATAATTATAAATAAAAATGGATTTTAAGGCTATACGAATAATTTTTTACAATAAAATTACATGTTATAATAAAATTTAGAGGTGTTTCTTATGATTGTTTAAAATTGCAACCTTATACAAATCATGTTTTTTAGAAAATCCTTCCAAGGTCTTTTGACTAAGGGAGTAGATGCACGCCATGCTCTCGCAGGAATACAGTTTATGCGTTCTTTAATATATTTAAAAAAAAATATGTATATCCCCTTTCTGTAATTGAAACCTCAAATAAAACTTACCAGGAAGCCCAAGAGCCTTCCAGGCTAAAGAGGAAACTTCCATTTCTCTATCTTGTTCTAATTTGTTTGAATGCGACAGTATTTGATTTTATAAACAATATCCTGTTTCATTTTCTTCTTGTATATTTTCTAAATGAAATTCAATCTACCATGCTAGATAGGATGTTTGATATAAGTTATGTTTACTTTAAATACTGAACACGGTTTCTATGAGTCCATGTAGAAATTAATTACCTCTTAAAAATCTATTTTTTAGATGGATTTTTTGAGTTAATTTTGAAGGACATGTAATCTCTAACATGGAGATCATGAATATGAAAAAAATAATAAATAGTAAATAATAATAATTCTATTAATAAAACATTTGGGCTGTTAGTTTCAATTGGGTTTAGATGTACCACCTATTTGAAAATAGATGCTTTATAACTCCAAGACCACAAATGTAGAAATGCGATCCTTGCCGAATAAAACAATTTTTCTTAAATGTTATAAGTTCATTACTGCTAACTTTGTGGGTCTTTGTGGCTCCTATTTGTCCAAATATTCCAAAAAATTGACAACAACCGAGGCATTCCAAACATTATTGGTAAAGGAACTGAGTTCCAATGCTCTAGGAGAGATGCTATAGTCAGGAGTAAAAATGTCAATCAAATTTACCGCCCACATCCATATTTTATCGACACAAGGGCAATGGATGAATAAGTGATCACCATTTTCCTCATCTTTTTTGTACATCTGGGTGATGATCCCTTTCTCTTCATATTGCCAATTATCAACGACTTTCCTTCCAATTTGGATGGTAAGGAGGAATTCATAAGTTTTGGTCTTCTTGTTCACAAACCACCTTCAGATTTATGAGCACATAATACTTGATCCCATTTGACTAAATACAATTTATTATCTCTCTATTGATTGCCCCATAGGGATTCTTTCATAGGCTTTTATATTTTATTGACCATTAAGTTAGACAAGCATAAGCGGGAGAGGGAGTAAATTGGCAGGTTCGATAAAGTTGGTTTTATAGAGCAAAATGGTGGATCAGGATTCGTATAGCTGATCCAATTAATTGAATAAAAACTATGACAGTGATGATAAAATTGCCTTATCCAAATCCCAATTAGCTCTAAGTGGACCAATTGGATAGAGAGGAAGTCCTCAGGATCTGCAGAAGGAAGAGAACCAACTAGCAGCCCATAAATATCTACAAGATCATCCATATGCCTATCAATTTTGTTTTCCTAACATTCATCCTTAAACTTTTACATCATCCAAACATTTGAAAAACAACCATGCATTGGTATCTTTAGTTTTGAAAATAATATTGAGTATTTTAAAAAAATCTACCTACATATGCGGTTTTCCTAAGTTCTTTCCTAAGTTCTTAATACTGATAGAGAGAGAGGTGGCTTTTAATCCTGAATTGAAGGATAGAGTAAAGAAGGAGTGGTATCTATGGAAGCACTCATGTTCCTTATGCTTATGGAACAAATGAAAGATGAAAGAGTTTGGGTGCTTGTACGTAGCATGTGAAGCAGGAGGGGCACTAAGATACTTGATGACACACTTTACACATTGCATGCTTGTAAATGCACACTTAGCCCGTGCATAGGTTCAGGTCACCCACGGCACGGCACAGGTTTGCAAGATTGCGGCCCAACCTCATACCGATGCATCGGATGACCATGTTGTCACATTGCATACTAAATAGCAGTGATTGCTCACATGAACAACCACTTTTGATAGCCACTTACTCTGAAGGGGTCGAGCTCCCCATTTTTAACACCTTTTACTGACTCGAATCTCTATCTCTAAAATTTACAACTCTCTCTCTCTCTAAAAGTCTGTAAGGCAGCTTTGGTGTTCTATAAACTCTCTTATTTCATGCAATAATATGAGTTATTTTTGTGAATTTATGTTTTCATATATTTTTGTGACTTTCTATTTTCAAATATCCTGATGATTTTTTTTGCCCAAGCTGCCCTTTTCATACTATAGGTGATAAATGATTGGATCATTTAGTGAGGATTTAAAGTCCTTAATTAGGCCTGTTTGATAAACTAAACTGAGCATCGAGTTGAAAGATTCAACAATGATAGTATATAGAAAGGAAGACAGAAGGGTCTCCCTATCGCAAGCCCCTAGAAGTTGTAAATAACACCCTTGCTTTGCCACCGAGAATAACTAAAATTTTGGTGCTTGAAAGACGATCCTTTTATTCAAGTTCTCCACCTTGCACCGAAGCCGAAGAATTTCATAATTTCATCCCACTCTAGCTTGAACCTTTTCTATAAAACTGTTTTTTACCCCATAAGCTTTCAAATTGGGGAATGCTTCTATGTGACCCTAACCACATAAAAAAAAATGTGGTTGCTACTTTACAGCCATAATCATAGGATCTAAAATAAAGGCTGGGATAACATCGACCAAAATGTAAAAAATGTGACTGCTATGTTACAGCCATAGTCATAGGATCTAAAACAACGGCTGGGATAACATCGACCAAAATGTCACGCATTTCAAAAAAAACTTGGGAACCGGCTCTCATCTATTGCCCTTGCCCTTGTCTTACACATCTCTCTTGGGCTATACTCTCTCTTGGGCTATACTCTCTCTATTCTCATCGTCTCTCTCTAACTCTTTATTCCCCACCCGCGGGGAACCTAACCCTCTCTGAGGCTCCTCTCTCCCTCTAGCAAAAACGAAGAGGAAGAGGAAGAGGAAGATAAGAGAGCTTTTGTTCATTTGATTTTTTGTCCTTAAAAAAAAAAGCAATTCATTTGATTTTTTATCCTTAAAAAACCATTAAGATGAACACAAAAAACATTAAGATGAATAATAAAAATAAAAAAATTCAGATGAATACAAGCTACAATTGCCCAAAAAAAATATTCAGATGAATATAAGCCCCAATTAACCAAAAAATATGACGTTTTTAATTAACCAAATCCATTAATATTATTTTATCTTTTGATGAACAAATCATAGCCCAAACCAATGGCCCGTAGTCGCTCGCACTATTTCCACCTGCAACATCTAGCAGTATCGACCCCTCTCTCTCTTCTCTACATAATAAGAAAGAAGTAGGGCTCCAATGGAAATGACAACCCAAATTCCTGCCACTTCTTTCCATTATTGTTAGAGAGTTTGACATAGGAAAGGGCCAAAGAGACAATGGGATAGAGAGAATGGAGAGCGAGATAAACATACTTTTTAGTGGGATAGAGGAAGGGCTACCGGCTGAAAGCTAGCTCCCAAGTTCGAGATCTAATTTTGTGACCATCAAACTTGTGTCAAAGGTAAACGGTCTCATTGTATATAATCCAGTTTTGTGCATTCATACTAATTTTCCTCCTTTTATTTATTATTTTTCAAAATATCCTCACTTCATACATTTGAAGTCAAAAAGATAATTCTTAGCTTCAAATCTTCACAATCTATAGCCACTTGTCTCCAAAAAATTTGAGAAACTATTGGCTTCGTAATTCAAGGTCTGAAATCATAATATTAAAAACTTGACTTTCGACAAGGGTCATATGTTACAGTAAAAACAAAAAAACCTTGTTATGTGGACCAAGAAGGTTTGAAATCATAGTTAGAAAATCAGAGACCATGGAGGCTTGAAGTCGCTCTGGAAATTTGCTCTAACTTTGATTTTAAGTTATCACTTCAGACCTAGAAAATCCCAAGTGGGGCATTTTGGAAAAAGTAAAAAAATAAGAGACTTGGATATGAGTTTTGAAAAAACAATAAAAATACATTTTTATAATAACATTAGTTTAAGGGGACATGAAAATAATTTTCAATTTTTATAATTAATCAATTAAGACAAGGAAGATGGTTTTCGTAATTTTAATTAATCAATATGCTAATCCAATATTATTTGCAACATTCCAAAGAGAAGTAAGTAGGTGTGCACCCCTATTTAAATACCACTTTCTCTTCTTTTTCATTATTTATTATTATTTTTAAATTAGTTACTATGAATTATTTATTCTTTATATTTATTTATTGTTTCCAAATACCCGTCCCCATAGCTGAGGAGCATTCCTTCTAAGCTACTCCTGTTTGTGAGCTATGGTTCAATATTACGATTTCCAATAATGGAATCCATGTTTTGGGTTATTAAATAAAAAACACGAGTGCTCAAGTCAATTCATAAATAATCAGAGTTAGCCCACCTCTAAATCTTGCTAAAAGATGTATTTCCAGTGCGAGAAGCCTTTCCGATGGCTTAAAAAGCGATTTTCATCTTTTTTTTCCGATGGCTTAAAAAGCCATTTTCCTCTTTTTTTTTCAATGGCTTAAAAAGCCATTTTCATCTTTAATTATGAAACTTAAAGTTACAAAAATAATGTAGATTGAGTAGATCTATAAACACTATTTTATTTTTTTTTAGAAATGAACTGTCCAAATAATATGTCACAAGATGTAGTATTTTTATGAATTGGATTTTTTTCCTTGTTCATGTCTTGAGGTCTGACCAAATTCTAGGGTTTTTTGATGTTAAAGCAATCTTTTCTATACATTTTTGAGATGCACCTTACTTCTAAAACAAAAAAGTTTGTACAAGGTATCAACCTTTCTATACTATTGAAGTAAGGTGCACCTCAAAAATCTAGTAGAAAATAGGGTATCTATGTTGAAAAACATTCTAATTGATTCTCGAACTCGATAATTTCAAGTCCTAAATAATACATCTTATAATAAATTATCTTGACCATCTATTTAAAGATTTTCAAATATTTATAGATATGATCGATTTATAATATTTTTGAAATTCTAAATTTCATAATTAGTATCGAATATAGTTTTTCTAACCATCATAAATTTTTCAATACCAAGACTACATCATCCAAAAAAATTTAAAAGTGCACTTTACTTGTATAATATAAGATAGCCACATTGTATATGGAAAGAGTTGACATAAGTTTGCAACCTTATATTATAGAAAACATATGCGTAAAAAATCTACTGAAAGAAGTTATTATGATGCTGAAAATTCTTATGTGATTATCTCGTACTCGATATATATTTATCTTGTAATACATCTAGACTGTTTATTTCTCAAGATTTTTAAATGTTTGTAAATCTGCCTGATTTGTACCATATTTTTAGTTTTAAATAAAATAAAGTTCTACATCAGGAATTTCGGACACCAAAAATTAGTTCTTCCACAAGCTTTGGAGGTGCACCTTATTTGAATTGTTTAAGGTTGACGCCCTACATAAACTACACCCGTTCTAAAAAAGCAAGCTATGTTTCTTTCGCTCGAGTGACTCAGTCACACGCGCGGCCGCCGCCACGAACCATGCGCAGCGCCCTCCGCATCCATTTTCATATCCTCTCTCTAAAAACTCCCAAACTTTCTCTCTCTAAAAACTCTGTAACTTGCCTCCTCTCTCTCCAAACCCCTCGTCTCATCTACTCCTCTGTCTCTCTCTCTAGCCATGGGGTCACTGGTGGGAGCTCCATGGCTGAGAATCAGAGCTCTCCCCGAAGTCTCCTCCTCTTTCATGCGCCCCTCTCTTCACTTCAAATTCGAAACCCATTTCCGCAAATTCCTATCCGTCTCTGCATCTTCAAATCCCAATCCTCCTTCAAATGGTGGAAATGGAGAGGTTCGTGTTCGATTTGCTCCTTCGCCCACTGGTAACCTGCACGTGGGTGGAGCCAGAACCGCCCTCTTCAATTACTTATTTGCCAGGTTCATTGTTCCCCTTTTCTTCTTCTTCGTCTTCTTCTGTTCTCTCTAATGCTATATCCTTTTTTTTTTTAATATTCGTTTTATTTTTATTAGAATTTCAGTCTAGCATGGAAGGCTCTATATGAATTTGATTGATATAGAATGTTAATGAGTTTGGTTTCAAAACCATACATTGGATTTAGCTACACTGTACTACAATTGGTTTCTAGAGAGAGAATTTCTGAAATCACTTGTAGCTTACTAGTAACAGGTCCATTATCCCTATGCGCACTAGAATTGGATTTTACTGGGCTTCATTATGGTTTGGATTTAAGTAACTAAAAAGCACTGTTTGGAATCTGCGGGGAGTTTAACTCGGACTTGCCTGAGTTACTTGGACCCAGCAGGCTGCCGAGTCTAAAGTGAAATTTTGGGAACTGAGTCGCACTGTTTCCCAAGGTTTTATGGCTAATTTTCTGACTCTGCTGAGCCTTGGACAGATTCTGCTGACTCCAGTTTCCTAATTTGGGCTCGGGACCCTGGATGGTCCCTACCCGAGTATGGGTGCGTTGTTTTCTTATGTACTGAAGGAAAGGGGAAATCTCATAAAATGGGTGGACTCTTTGTTCTTTTGAGGTTTTAATGTACTAACTATAGTTGGTTATTTCATTGGCTTATGCAGGTTGGTTGAAGTTTTATCTATTCATATCGATAGCCTTCCTGAACTTGTTTTTGTTTCCCTTGGTTTTTGTATTTGCACACATGGGGTTTCAATTACAAGCAATGTAATGACACATAAAAATGCAAAATAATGAGAAAAAACCTTAGAATCATGAATGGCATTTATCATTAGGTAATTTTCCTCATTGACAAAGAGAAATCGTATTTCATTAAATTGGTCGTCATTGTCTGTTGATATGTGTTATCTGCTAGTTCTTAAGGTCACTTGCCTGTTTCTGATTTCTAAATCTAACTTGCTTGACTTCTTAGAACAAATAAAAGTACTCGTGCCTTTAAGGAATTAAAAACGATTTTGCACGGCATCCACTTTTTGGTGGGTAAGCTGGGATATTATCCTTGGATTTCATGCTAGATAAGGGATAAAGCGTTGATATGAAACAAACTTTGAACCTTCTCAGTATGTACAACAAGTAAGAACTGTGTCATGATAAGTGCACGAGTTATGTTTGAGTTTATTTCTGTTGTAACCTGGAGATATATCCAATGGAGATATATCTCATGCTCCTCTCCTCTTTACTTTGGCTTCTTGGGGTAAGGGTTTGGGGGTAAATAGATTGTTCGGTAATAGCTTACAATGTTCAATATTATTTCAGGTCTAGGGGTGGTAAATTTGTTCTTCGAATTGAAGACACTGATTTAGAGAGATCTACTAAGAAGTCTGAGGAGGCAGTGTTAGAGGACTTATCTTGGCTTGGCCTGGATTGGGATGAAGGTATAATAGTCGTACTACTACTTTTTTAGGATTCTTGTTGCTCATGTGAAATTCATATTCTTTTATTGTTAATAATAAAATTCATTGAAGGACCACACTCTCCTTTTATTAGGGACAGTTCATCATAAAAAAGGTGATCTACTCTCCTGTTACACTGTAGTGATAGATAAGCATGGAATATGAAAATGCTTGTGCTGGAGATCAGCACTAAGAATTGAATATTCATTTGTGCCTGAGATCAGCACTCATTATTAAGAATTTATCCTTGGCCTTTAGACTAAAGAAATTTGCAAGTCTAGGGAAACTAATCTCCCCTAATGGCATGAATTGGAAATACTTACCTATTGTTTCAAGTAAATAATTGCAGACGGAGCTATCAAGGGGTTCTTCCATTAGGTAGGTTCCTTGTCATCATGGTTGATTTTGATCCTCGTCTACAAGGCATTTCATTGGATGGATTTGCCTTATAAAATTATCTTGTTAGTAAGCTTCGTTAAACATGTAGGAGTCGAAATCACCAACATTATTCAGAAGTGTTTATTTTACGTTAAATAATGATTATTGTTTTAAAGCGGAACTAATATCAATATTTTGGTTATGTATTTTATTCCTTTTTGTTTGACCATTATGAGCAACTTTATTTGAGTTTCTTGGGGTTCCATTTGTTGCTAACAAACTTATGAACCATGCCATTTTCGGTGAGCTACCTGTTCTTTTTAGCTCTTTGATTTCTCTACCATGCATTCAACAGAATATGTGAATTTGCTATGTGGGCAGGTCCTGGTGTTGGTGGAGACTTTGGTCCATATCGACAATCAGAAAGGAATGCTTTGTATAAACAATATGCTGATAAGTTGTTGAACACTGGTGAAGTATATAGGTGCTTTTGTTCCAATGAGGTAATTGTCTTATTGAGTCCTTCTATAAAATTTTTTGTTGGAGGACCTTGTAGTACTAATACAGAATTGAAACCTATTACTTTTAGTGACTCTTAGAACTTGTTAGTTCTAGATGACTTTTGATTTGGGGTATTTGATCTTATATAGTTTGTTTGTTACACTCCAAAGGTCTATCTAAATGTTGAGTCCAGAGTTGATGAGTTTTAATACTGTATCCATGTAGAAAGAGATGTAGCTGCATGCTGTCATCATTCTCTTTCCTATGGTATACGTCGTAATTGGGGGATGTTTGTGGTTGGAGAGGTTGGGGTGGGGTGCTGGGGTTTCCGTGTTGGGGGGCAACATGGTCACATATGAGGAAAATGGGGTTGGCCTTGCAGAGAATAAAAAAACTTTAGACACATAATCTATGTAGTTGAGAACCTTTCATTTGGCTGTAAGGTATGATTCCTTGCTTTGTCCGATTGAAAGTACGTTGATATGTAGATGCTGGGCATGGTGTTTTAGAAACAAAGGTTGTTTTATTCAATGAAAGCGTTAGCTAAAACTTAGCATGGCGAGAACTGTAACTTGTAGGAGAATTACTGTGTAGCCCTGTTGAGCCAGTTGGCGTTTCAGTTGCATTTCCATTTCAATCCTTTTCTACACCCGTTATTGATGAACTTGCTATGGTGATTTCATCTCTAATACGATGTAGAAAGTGAATGCTCACTCTATGAAGCGTGGGTTGCTATGTTCTACATTGTCATTTTTGGTGTTTTTTCTTTTGATCGAACTTCACTTTAAAATGATTCGTTTGCATTGCAGTACTGATGAAATGATATAATTTTATTAGGAACTTGAAAAGATGAAGGAGGTTGCTAATCTAAAGCAACTGCCCCCTGTTTATACAGGCAAGTGGGTGACCGCTACAGACAAAGAAATACAAGAGGAGCTGGAGAAGGGAACACCTTTTACATACCGCTTTCGAGTTCCAAAGGAAGGATCCTTGAAAATTAATGATCTAATCCGTGGTGAAGTAGGTTGTTTTGATTAAATGTTAATCGGTTGAGTTTGTCATTAGCTTGTTTTCTTCCTTTGGTTCATTGCGAATCGTCTGTGTTTTAAATGAGGTTCCTTTATGTAACATGAATAACAACTTGCCGTAAATCCATGTTCATGTTCTTCCTCAACGTCCCCAATAGCTTAACTGCTTGCCATAGAGTTGCTGCCCAAGGTGCATAACTTATATAACAGGTCATTACAAAATGGAAATGTTCAAAAGGCTTCTTGTTCATTCTTCTCTGCTCCAAACATGCACAAATTCTCACATCCACTAAAAGTGCCTGACCCTCTGCCCAAGTTAAATGTCCAATTCACAAGGAACATGTATTGCACCTTATAAAATCTCATTCTCACCATGAATAAATCCTCCAAGCCACATGAATAAGCTTCAAAATTCCTGTTGTTGGAAGGAGATATCTTGTCTAATGATAAGAGTTTATAGGATATTACTTCTTCATTTATTAAAAAAAATAATAGGAGATATTTCCTTTTAGTTCTCAGTCAAAATATATGTATGTATTTTTTCCGTTTTCCTTTCCATAAAAAAACAGAGATATTTCCTTTTACCTTTTATTTATCTAGTTCATGTATTGATGTCAGTTTCTTGTATTCTTTGGAAGATGTCAACTTTGTTTGAAATTTTTAAAGGTTTGTTGGAGCTTAGACACACTTGGAGACTTTGTTATATTAAGAAGCAACGGTCAGCCAGTCTACAATTTCTGCGTGACGGTGGATGATGCTACCATGGCCATATCACATGTTATAAGGTGTGTTATACTCTTTCAACACATTAATTTTCTCTGATATGTTCCATTTTGAAGGGAAAGTTTATAGGTGACAAAGTATCCTATATTATGCAACTAGGAAATAAATGATGGACAGTGATGAGAGAAATCAATGTGAAGGTCGCAAGTTTCATTTTATTGGTGCCAGTTTTCATTTTCTTGACGAGTGATGTTTGAACACTTTAGGTGGCAAGTTTGAGTTGATAGGCGACAAGTTTATTAGATGATGTGTTCAGATAAATTAATGTATAGCTCATCCAACGTGTATAGGTGACAAGTTTCATTTCTTGACAAGTGATATATATATATATATATATATAGTTTCTATCTATGTTTGTCGATGAGCTTAGAAATTGCATAAATATATTTTTGTTGGTTGCATGTTGTTTGGTTTCAGAGCTGAAGAGCATCTGCCTAACACTTTGAGGCAGGCATTGATATACAAAGTGAGTTTTTTTGTCTCTGGAAAAATTCCATATGTTGTCATCCTGGAATTTACTGTCTTCTGGTCTGTATCTTCTTAAACATACTGTAGGTGGTTTGACTACGAGTACTTGTTTGTTCCAGGCTCTTGGATTTCCTATGCCTAAATTTGCTCATGTGTCTCTCATTCTGGCTCCTGATCGAAGTAAATTGTCTAAACGTCATGGAGCTACTTCAGTAGGCCAGGTAGGTAAGCATTTTGTTTGTGATCACTTCTAGTCTCTTGTATTTGTTGATTACTTTGTTTCAAAGGAAATAAGAATCTTCTAAGTGTCTGCTTTTTTATTTTATTTTTCTTCTTTCTTTTTGGCAGTTCAGGGAGATGGGGTACTTACCAGAAGCCATGATGAACTACTTAGCCCTTTTGGGTTGGGGGGATGGTACAGAAAACGAATTTTTTACCATGGAGCAGCTTGGTTAGTTGGCTCTATTATGATTACTTCATTTCTTTTTTGTGTTGAAGTGAAAATGTAATGATAATGAGTGGAGATTCTGTGGTCTGAGTTTTAGATGCTGACTGTCCAATATTCATTCAATGCTACAAAGAAATGATGGATGGTGATTAGATAGCGGCGGACCCAAGCGGTAGTAAACGGTTTGGGTGGTTCCTACTCTCTTGCCATTGTCCATCATTTCTTAGGAACCAAATGGACCATGATTTCCTGTAGTCCTTTGAATTGTAGTATATTTAGTCCTCAATATAGTGGTTTTACTAGTTAGAAGGGCAGGATACGTCCTTTTAGCTAAGCCACAGTTCCTAGTCTCTGAACTGATTAGTGAAGCATATTTTATAAGCATTAGGCGTACTGCACCTTCCTACCTTGAAGATATATAAAAGTGGATAAAGTGAGCTGCTTTTTTTTTGTTTCCCTTTTCCGGAGGTCTTCTCACTCACTACTTTGGGGCTTGCAGTTGAGAAGTTCTCAATTGACCGTGTCAACAAGAGTGGAGCAATATTTGATATGACAAAGCTAAGGTAGACCTCTCCTTTATTTTTTCTGATTCCAACCTCATTGCTTTATTTGTTTCAGTGGAGTACTGAGGCAATTTTAATGTTTATATGGAAATCAACCATCTTCTAAAGATGGATGAATGGGCAACATTTGAGGGCCCTTCCAACAGACAAGTTAGTGAATCTTCTTGGAACTCGCTGGAAGAGTACAGGGATCCTTTCAGAATCTGAAGGAACATTTGTTGAAGTAAGACCCACATATTTTGTCATTTAATTTCTTGGGCAATATTTCTACTGCATTTTATGGGAATGGTGTTCTTGTTTGGAGAAGTATATGATGATCCAATGGACTATGATATGTTGTCCTATCCTAGTGTAATAGTGATTAAAATTACAACGTGAACCTTGGAAATTGTTTGTTATAAGTTGATCTTTCTTCTTTTGATTGATTTGGTAAAAGTTGATATAATTTATAAAGGCAATGTGCCCATTTATAAGCCCTTATACCTGAATCTTTTGCCAAAAACTACTAAAATTTGCAAAATAGACTACTAGTTCAAATCATTTCTAAAATTGCTATCCCAAATTCTGATGAAAATTTTGCTTCTTTATCAACCAAGCATGTGCTGACTCCTGCAAAGTGGAACATACAGGAAGCAACTGATTTGCTGAAGGATGGGATTGACTTGATCGCTGATGCAGATAAAGCCCTCTCAAATTTTCTCTCCTATCCCTTGCATTCTACTCTTGCAAGGTATCCTTTGTGGCTTATGTCGGTTTTTTGGGTCAAAGCTTGCATAGTTAGATATCAGATCTCTCTCTCTCTCTCTCTCTCTCTCGTGTGTCTGCTCACTCACACATACACAAGCACACATGCATACACATGCATGTGCTGGGAAGTTGTATGCTTCCTTTTCTTCTCTTTTTTTGGGTACAGATGCTCCCCTTTCTCTCTCTCTCTGTCATATGCATGCATTCAATCAAAGTTATACTTTCTCTCACATTCTCTCTGAATCTAGTATCTATAGATCTGTCTATCTGCACAAAAAAGCTTGTGTGTGACTGATACTTTTGGTGCCTCTTGTAGCCCCGAGGGTAAAGCAATTGTGGAAGACAAGCTTTCTGAAGTATCAGCCGGCTTGCTTGCAGCTTATGACAGTGGGGAGCTTATCACTGCCCTTGAGGAAGGTCACTCTGGCTGGCAGAAGTGGGTGAAGAGCTTTGGAAAGACACTGAAGCGCAAGGTCAATAATTTATTTAATTCACTGAGTACTCTGCATCTATAATGAACATGGAGAGAGAGAGAGAGAGAGAGAGAGAGAGAGAGAGAGAGGTCAATGAATTTCAACTGTGGCAGGGGAAGCCTCTATTCATGCTTGCCTCTGTGTGTGCGTTTTTGTGTGTGTGTGTGTGAGAGAGAGAGAGAGAGAGAGAGAGAGAGAGATCACACTTATCTTTGTATCGAAATTGTGGCAGGGGAAGTCTCTCTTCATGCCCGTTAGAGTGTTGCTAACAGGGAAGCTTCATGGTCCTGACATGGGGGCTAGCATCCTCGTGCTTCACAGAGCTGGCAGCTGCGGGGTAATCATGAAAGAAGCAGGTTTTGTGACATTGCATGAGAGGTTTCAAATGTTAAGGGAATTGGATTGGGAAGCATTGTCCAAGGAATCTATTGCAGAGCCTGCAGCAGCAGTGTCCCATTAAGTTTTCAAATGACTTTTTACTCTCTCTCTCTCTCTCTACTGACGTGGCCTTATTGAAAGTAGGGCTATTTCACTTCTCAAATGGGAGTACTCTGCTTGGTTGGGCCATTTTTGGAAGTGTTAGGATCATTGTGAAAATTAGTGTGGGTGAGTGCTTCTAGCGTGTATTTGTTATTTGTATGGTTATTAATGCTCCTAATCACTTGTACTTTTTATTTAGTAGTGAAATTGTTGTTCTTGTATGTTATCTTTGGGAAATTGTTCTTTTCGTATGGGATCATGGTATAATTACCATGGAGGTCCCCCTATTGCTCATGATGGATGTTTAGGTAGGTTAATTTCTTGTGAAAAGTAATAAATGATGTGTGTAGTGAGTTTTTTATGAGAGAGAGAGAGCATGTTGGCAAAGTTGTGTGGGTGTGTGTGTGTGTGTGTGAGAGAGAGAGAGAGAGAGAGAGAGAGAGAGAGAGAGCATGTTGGCAAGTTGTGTGTGTGTGAGAGAGAGAGAGAGAGAGAGAGAGAGAGAGAGAGCATGTTGGCAAAGTTTATTTTGGGCCTGTAGACTTTTGGCAAGGGTTGCTTCCATAGTTGTTTTCTTGAAGATTGGGATCATAGAATATTATAAAGGGCAAGCTCCAAGACAAAAAGAGATTTGTCTTTCTTATTCTATGTTGAGAGATGTATTTGTTTTTTGGCAACATTAATATTACATTTGCTAACTCCCCTTAAAATGTTCCCACCATCCTCTATGATATTTTAATGTTAGTATCTATCAACAAATACAAATCTTTGACCTCCTCCATTCCTATCACCTCCAAATATTTTAAGAATCCCATCCACTTTCCCTAAGCTTTAAACAAAATAATAACCCATTAGCCTTAAGTTTTAAACAAATAAATATGTCAATAGTCTTTGATCAAGACTACTAAACAAACCCGCTAATAAATCTCAACCCAGTGGCAATTTTTCTCTTTCTGTTTTTTCCGTCGAAGATAGAATTTAAAAAGAATAAGGTTTTGTGAGTCAGCCCTCCCTTTGAAAAATTCATGTTTGAGATGTTTTTCGGATTTGAAATTTTAGATGTTGGTAATCTCAAATATATTGATCATGAACTTCAAATAATAATAATAATAACATTTTTGTCTTTAATTCATTTTAAAGATGGACATTTGATGCATCAGGAGATCCAACATAACCATTATATACTCCTGAGGAGCATATCTTGGGCAGGAGTATTGTTTTAGGACCGATGTTTCCTATTTACCAAGCGTCCAACCGGAAAAATTTGTGAATGTGCTTGAAAAAAATAACATCCTATATGTACTATTGCAATGTTTGTTCAATATTAGGATGTTATTCTTCTCAAAATGAGTTCTTTCGATTGGGGTTGGATGGGTTATACCCTCATCAGTCGAGCACTATTGTTGCAATGGGCATCCCACCTCTTCCAAAAAAAAATATGGAATGGGATCATATTGTGAAGGATATCAATCGAAGCAATTATTTGGTGGGTATGGAAAGAAAGGAACAACGGAGCATTTCGAGATAAATTGCAGAATTTCTCCATGATCAAAAGGGATATCATGACTACAATCATCCCAGGGGCTATATCGAGACAGGAATTTAGAGGTCTTTCGAGGGCTGACTTGGTTGTGAACCTTGAACAGGGATCTCTGCTAAGGAAAAGGAAGGTTCAAAAAGAAATTACTTGCCTCCTCCAGAAGGATGGTTCAACTCAACTTCGATGGTAGTGTGATTCAAAACTCAGAGCTTGAAATAGAAGGACTGTTGAGAAATTTTGAGGGTAACGTAGTGTTTTCATTCTCAGGCCCGTGTTGGACTTGCTCTGTCAATGAAGCAAAACTTCTTACAATGAAACATGGAGCCTTATGTCTCCTACCTGCCACGAGAAAGTCATAATAGAAGGGGATTTGGCAACTGCCATGGCTTCCGGAAAAGAATTTATGGAGATCCATACAAATAAACATTGCAGCAGGGAAGTAGAAATTGTGCACAACTATAGCGAGAGAAACGAGGAAGCAGATTCCCTGGCAAAAGAATGGGGAACAAACAGATGATCCTAATCAAAATATTTGATTTAAGCATGACAAGCTGCAACAGTTGTAGGTGAATGAATATGCAACTCAAGGAATTTATGTATTTTTTCTAGTTCTTGTAATGTAATTTTGTCATATTTGGTTTTTTTTGTTTTTTGTTTTTTTTTTCCACTATATTATTATTTTTGGATTGTCTATAAAGATACCACATCATGATTGTGGCTTCTTTGTACAAAAAGTAAATGATCTTGCTATTTTTTTAATGGTACATCCTCTTAATTATCTTACTTAAACAATTGAGTCAATGTTAAAAAAATTAAAATAAATATTAAATACTGTATTGATTTCTAGATGGTGAGATTCAAGTATTAGATCTCAAATTCAAATTTTTTGATTTCTAGATGGTGACATTCAAGTATTGGATCTCAAATTCAATTTTTAAGAAAATAATCACTCATGATTCTAAAGTAGATAAAAATCTAAAAAAAAAGAATCATACTCTGTATGTGCCTAAGAAAGATAACACCCTAAGCAGTGATGTAGAAAACGCTAAGTTGGCGGAAATCGTTCAGTCCAATTAGCCACTCCGTTCCAATTCTGTCAATATATAGGAAATCATCCGAGTTTAGAAGAGAACCGGCGATTAGTTACAGTAAAAATACCATTTTGCTACCGTAAAAACATCAATACTCCAATCTGAACCGGTTTTTGGCCAGTTCGCTATTTTTGCAGATTTTTTTGTTGGTTCACTATTTTTTTTACACAGTAAAGCGAAGATCCAGACTGTCGATTCACCAATTTGGCCCAATTTTTGCGATGCCTAATCGTAGGTCACCGATTTTTTTTTAAATCACTAATCCTAAAGGAACGCAAAGTCTCAAAAAGGAATTCATATTCACCGCTTGGAAGAGATTAACATCAAAAGAAGCTATCCAAGTTTCAAAGGATGTGATCCAAGTATCTAGGAACTTGAAATCCATTATCTTTTGAAAATGGTGATTCTAGGGTAAATAGCTTAAAATCAAACAGAGAAATCTCTTCCAAAAGTAGGGGGTTTGCCAAGAGAATAAGTGGAGGGACTACTAATAAAAGAAAGCAATTTAAGACGGGCGGGAAGCTTAATTACTAAAATGCCCACCCTCTCGATCCATGATAATTTATTTATTTTTAATTACTACTTTTTTACGTTGGATCACGCCACGGCTATCAACGCACTATAAAAGCTGAACCGGCAACCCAGACTCTCTCGCATTATTTTTTCCTTTCTTTGATCTTTCGCGCTTTAAACCCTAACCCTAATTTTCATTGAAACAGGAAACCCTGTTTCTTTGTGCCCTAATTTTCCTAATTTTCTGCCGCCCTAAAGTTTGGCTTTGAGTATTTCTCTTATCTCCATTGCAATGGCTTCCTGTAAGGTGTAAGCTTCACAGTGAGCTTTGAAGGTTTGGACTCGAATTCTGCTGCATTGGTGATCTCTTAAAACTAAATTTTAGCCCAAATTGTTATCTCTAATGTGTAATTACAGCTCAATGGCGATGTATGGGCTCTGAAATGACTTTTTTGGCCATGATTCTGAGCTGGAATGGTGATCTCTGATCTCTAATTTTTGTTTGAAACTGATGCGGGAATGGCTTGTTCTCAAACAATAGGAGGTCTTTCCAGGCCTGGTCGAGTGCTTGGTCCATCACTCGATAAGATCATTAAGAATGTTGCTTGGCGTAAGCATTCGAATCTTGTACAGGCCTGCAAATCCGCCATTGACAAGCTCCAAACTTTGGAAGACCTTCAAAATCCTAATTATTCATCTTGCATCCCGTTATTCTCACCTTCTGATGCAGGCGCAGTCCTTGAACCTTTGATTCTCGCTCTAGAATCTGGATCTGTGAAGATTATTGAACCTGCTCTTGAATGTCTTCAGAAGCTGATCTCCAATGGCTTGATCTATGGAGAAGTGGAAAAACCCGATAATGAAGAGAATCCCCCTGCAATTTTCAGGGTTTTGGACTCAGTCTGCAAGTGTCTGGCCTCGGCTGATGAAGCTCTCGAGCTAGGTTCTTTGAAAACTATTCTCATTTTGGTTAGATCAGGGTCTTTCTCAATTCGTGGTGATTTTCTGGTTCGTGTCGTCAAGAATTGTTACAATGTGTATTTAGGGAGCACAAGCGGGGTTAATCAGCTTTGTGCAAAGGCATTACTGGCTCAGATCATGGTGATTATGTGCGCTAGAATGGAGGCTGATTCAGTTTCAGTCAAAGTTAAACCGGTTTCAGTTTCAGACATTTTGGAATTCTCAGATAAGAGTTTGAGCGAATCAAGTCTGGTTCAGTTTGTTCAAAATTTCATCAATGGAGTAATTGAAGGGGGGGAAGGATGTTTGGGTCCTCCTCCTTCTCTGAATGTTGTTGAGGGTCAGGGTTTGAGCCCGACAAAACATGAAAGTGCAAAGATTGATGTGGTAGAAGTGAATGAGGGTGAGAAGAAATGGGGGAATGGCAAAATGTCAGAGTTTGGAGAAGGGGATTTGGCAAATGGGAATGAAACCGAGGATATGGAGGGTAGCAAGATAAGGGAGGATGTATTTTTGTTGTTCAAGACATTGTGCAAGTTCTCGATGAAATTTTCAACTCAGGATAATCCTGAAGACCATCTTCTCATAAGAGGGAAAGTGTTGTCCTTGGAGCTACTGAAGGTCATGATAGACAATGCATGTCCATATTGGCGAACTGATGAGAGGCAAGTACCACATTCTATACCTACAAGGACCACATTTAATACCACATAGACAATGATTTTCCAAAATAGATTGCAATGCAGTGATAAGATAGAGCTCTAATCATATACTTGCATTTTATATTTTATTAACCATTGATTTTGGAAATGCTGTAAAGAAGGATATAAGAAAATGATGCTACCTGAAAAACTAGACAAAGATACTCCCCTTTCTACTCTTTGTGAAGCATATAATACTTAGTTCCTCAAAAAATCATATTATCCAGTTCTACATTTTAGATTTGTGATATGAAAGATCTCTCTGATAATTTCTATGTGAATGACTATATTGATAATATTTTACTAACATTAGATGTTACCAATCCTAGACTAAAAAATGTAATTAAAATTGAAGCTTATGAGAATTGGGTTCCCAAAGTACTAAACTTACTGGAAAACCCATTATATGGTTAATTAATTCCTGAACCTTTTATGCTTCTATATTGTTCGCATAACATGTGTATCATTCAATGTGTACCTATATTCGTACACATCTCTGCCCATGTTTGTGTGAATGGAATCACAAGTATATATTGTCTCCTTTAGCATGTTAACTTGTATCCATCTCTGTCACTGCATGCAAATGTATTATTTTGTCTATCTTGCATGTGTAACTGCTTGTACTTAATAACATCACATCACATCCTTGTGCATGCGTACATTCCTGTAGAATCAATTGTGTGATGTGGTTAAACGCAGACATGGTAACATGCAGAATTATGAGTATAGAAATTGTCACAAAGGACACAACAATTATACATTTCTATCCATTATCATGATAGGTGGTTTCCAAGTATTATCTCTCCAAGTGGGGTTCTTGTTCAATACTAGGAAGATTGTGGGTGGTGCATTCATGACCAATGAGTGCCTGGACTCATGGAATCGGGAAAAAAAAGACAGGAAATAGTTTCTAAGGTACCTGTGAAGAGGATTGGGGATTTGGTTGTGAAGGGGGTGCTTGGAATGTTTGCCCTTTGCTTCTTTCTTTGTTATAGTAAAGGGATGTGTGAAAGGTTTCTTCAGTTTCTCTTGAGTGCACTCCAACCTCCCGACAATAGGATTTTTCAATTTTCCAACCGTCAGTCGCAGGTGTCTAGTTCCTTGACACTTGTCTTTCTCATGCTGTGTAGTATATGAGCGCCAAAGGGGGGGGTGGGGGCAAATGTAGACACCCTCTCTGAACTGACTAAATTTTTGAGTCCCTGAACCCAAAGCCTAAGGCCCGAAGCTTAATTATTCCCCATCCCAAAATCTTAAGCCTTAATTTCCCATCTCCCATAGGAAATAAGCTTATGCAGCCTAAAATACCACTGTGGACTACCTAACCAAGAAAGTCCATAGTGTACCGTCTACTACCGTGACCCGCACTCCCTAGACCACTGATACATCCTAAAGAATCCCAACCAAATCTCTACCACACATCTAGCCAAATCAAGCTAAATCCTTATCAAATTAGCTAAATTCCACATACCCTCACCAAGTTTAGCCTGAAGCTACCTAGTTTAGCTTAAATGCACCTAACTAATCCTTGATCATACCTCAAACCTACCCAAAAGTACCCTAATCAGGTCCCAGCCTTAGTTTCCTTAATTAGGTACAGTTAACCATAAAAAACAGGAAATCAAACTTGAGGGACCTAAATCAGAAAGTCAACAGGTCCGTAAATGGGTAAGGATAGGTTTACTGCCCATTATCCTCCATGACTGTTGCAAGGGCTCTTTCAGGCAATATGCAGGTGATGGGGGGAAATTTGGCTTGCTGGGGGCTGGTCTCATGCAGTGATGCAGAGCGTGTCACTAGATGCATGCATTGCATTGCTAAAAGATCAAGCAATCAGATTTTTTCACATTATCCTCTATGTTAATTAGAAGCTTTTTGGCTATAAATACCCCTGCTCTGAATATCCTGACTCTGAGGACACCTTTTTTTGAGAAACTTCACCAAAACCTTGCTAGATTGTAACTCGAATCCTGACCTAGTTTCCTAGACCCTGACCTTAGAACCCTGGCTACTATAATTCCAGAACCATTGAGCATACTATCTTAACCTAAACCCCAAAGAAAGGGCATTTTGGAGCCCACATGGCCATGACCATACTATGATCCTAAGTCCAATATACCTACTCGCCTTAAAGTTCAAGTGCCATAGTCAAACTATTGATCGCAACTAGTATCCTTCAATGCAGAGAGGCAACAACACGAAACCATCGGTTTGATGCATGCTCCTACTCTGGGAGCTGGGCTAGTGGGCCCAGCTTCAAGTAAGGTGTCTCCTATCTATCCTCTTAAAGTTTTATTGCATTTGCACCCTTAGTTCTTTTCTTCCTGCTCTATCTTTCTAGTTCAAGCACTTTCATATTGGTGAAGCCTTAGCCGGTGCGGCCGGCTGCCAATAGAGAACAGATCGATTAGGACTATTCCCTCCAACCGTAATTTAACATCACTCTAATTTAACATTATCTATCAATTTGTTTATCTTGATCTTGTTGGAGCACAAATTGTAGAAAGGGTCAGTCTATATGCCTCACTTGAATTTGGCTGTAATTAATTCGATGAAAAATTTATACTAGCCTGCTGAACAGTATCTCCAACAAGGGAAGTCTAATGCAGGATAGGCTGATACATATTTTTTTTTCTTTATTTAATTTTAGGATGTATTTTTTGGGAATTTATTAGGGTTTATTTTTGTGGGCAATTTGAAAAATTAGTTAGGTCATTATTTTTTTTGGTCAAAGGTGGTATTGTTTTAGTTAAGGAAAATATCAATTAAGGCAGTGTTCAATGCCTTACGATGTCATTAAGGTATCAAATGATCTCAATTAACATTTGAGGCGTTGCTTTTTCATTTTCATTTCACTTAGGTTCCTCCTCAAAAAAGAAATTTAAAAATTCCAAAATTTCCCTTATTTAATATTGGGAGGCCTAAATAATTAGGGGCATTTAATTTGACCCCTTAAGAGGCCCCAAGCTTATTGACAAAAATGCCCCTATTTCTTCAAGATTACAAATAAGGAACACACAATTTAGGATTAATAATGAGGAACAATTAGGGGTATTTTTGTCAGTTGGCACCCAAATGCTTTGCATGTATCAAATGACATGAATACCACTATCTTTTTCTCATTAAGAACCTGAAGAGTCTTATTTGTAGCCCTGAACAGATTTTTGCCATTTGCTTGGGGCCTTTTCGGGGTCAAATTATTGAAATGCCTTTGATTGTTCAGGCTTCCCAACCTTGAACAAGGGCAATTTGGGTATTTTTTTGAAGAATTGCTTGAGTAAAATCAAAATGAAAAAAGCGATACCTCAAATGTTAATTGGGATCATTTAACCCCGTTAATGATTTTGAAAGGGGTTTCAAGCTTTCAATGATATTGTCCTTTTGTAATTATAATTGGTGGTTTGATTATTTCATCTTAGATTTCAATTAGGAGTCCAGTTTGAATTAGACTAGAATTAGGGTTTTCTTGGAGTCTAAGATAGGTTTAGTCTATGACTCTATAATCGAGGTTGGTATAGGGTTTTGATTCAGAGTTTGATATTATATATGTTTTGAGAGTTTGGTTAAACCAGACACAAGTTTGAAGTTGGGTTTGTAAGCTTTCATCATTATTTTCAATCAATTCTTTCTGTTCTTTCAATGAGTTGTCCACTACATTAGTGCTGATTAAGGGCAAGCTTTGAAAGCATTTCTATGAGACCTTACATACCAAACATAATAATCGGTGGTGCATGGCAGTAATGAGTCTCATGTGGAACAAATATTAATATTTGTAGCCTTCATGGCATCTTTCGGTGTTTGGACCGATTAACTATCAAACAATTAGCCTCCTACAAAATTTGGAATGGATTATCTTTTCTGATCCTCGTTCCCATGTTTTCTGAGCACTTGTTTGGTTGTCTCCCGTCTCTTTAGACTGTCTCTACTTTGAAGCGAAGGCTTTGGGAGAACCTAGTCATTGAGTTATCAAATTGTTGCTTCTGTTGGTTTCCACTATATCTGATACTTGTATTGCACTTTTTTAATATAACTTAAACAGATATTCTGAGTGAAGGGTACACAAAATAATCAGCTTACATAGGTTTGTTCATTTTATGTACTGGGCAGTGTGATGCAGTAGCAAATCCTTACATTATAATTTAGTTTTCATGCTTATCTCTTTTTATTTATGGGCCTTACTACATCTTTTGTTATATGATCTTCTTTACGCAGGTTTCTCAATGGTATCAAACAATTTCTCTGCTTATCATTGCTGAAGAACAGTGCACTTTCAGTGATGAGTGTATTTCAACTCCTGTGCTCTATCTTTGCAAGCCTATTGTCAAGGTTTAGATTAGGGTTGAAGGCTGAAATTGGCATTTTCTTCCCCATACTTGTACTCCGCATTCTTGAAAATGTGCTTCAACCAAGTTTCTTGCAGAAAATGAGAGTTCTGAAGTTGTTGGAAAAGATGTGTGAAGATCCACAAATAATCATTGATATATTTGTGAACTATGACTGTGATGTAGAATCTCCAAATATTTTTGAGAGGTATTTCACAATTCAATATCTGAATTTTGTATTTAATACCTTGTGCTAATCTTATGGAAAAGGCTTTGTTGATGATGTTGATCTTATGGAATAAGATAATTGATATTATATTCATGCGTTTCAAATTTCTGTGCATTTATCTTGTTGCCTACTCATTTTATTTTTGTTTGACTCTTGATATAGATTTGACTCCATCTTCTACTCAGATGCATTTTCTTCATAGTAATTTTCTAGGTACATGTATTAAATCACGTTTAATTCCATCAGATATTTGCAGGATTGTCAATGGCCTGGTCAAAACTGCTTTAGGTGTGCCTCCTGGTTCAGCAACAACACTGACTCCAGCCCAGGATATTGCTTTTAGGATTGAATCTATCAAGTGCTTAGTTGGTATCATCGAAGGAATGGGAACTTGGATGGATCATCAGTTACGAATAACTGATGTGTATCAATCAAAAAACTCCGATGTCGATTCTTCTGGGGTTGAAAATGGTGCGGAAGGTACTCCCAGTGACTTGGAGCTGCATTCTGAAACAGTTTCTGAAACATCAGAAGCTGCAACTCTAGAGCAGCGTCGTGCATATAAACTAGAACTTCAGGCATGTCTCTGTGATTTATTCTGGAGTAGCCACTTTCTCTGAATTTCTACTTATATTATTGTATATATTTTCCTCTTATAGATGTCAAGAAGTTTGATTTCTAGTTAAGCTTGACCGTGTATCTGAACTGATGAAATGCAGAAAGGTATATCCTTGTTCAACAGAAAACCTAGCAAGGGCATTGAATTTCTCATGAATTCCAAAAAAATTGGTAGGTCTCCAGAAGAAGTTGCACTGTTTCTGAAGAATACTGCTGGTTTGAATGGTACTATGATTGGAGATTATTTAGGTGAAAGAGAAGATTTTTCTTTGAAAGTAATGCATGCATATGTGGACACATCAAATTTTGAAGGGATGAATTTTGGCGAAGCCATCAGATTTTTCCTTCAAGGTTTCCGATTACCTGGTGAAGCACAGAAGATCGATAGGATCATGGAGAAATTCGCAGAGCGCTATTGCAAATGCAATCCAAATTCTTTTACGAGTGCAGATACTGCTTATGTTCTTGCTTATTCTGTGATAATGCTTAACACTGATGCTCACAATAACATGGTAAAAAATAAGGTTAGTGCATTGCGATACCTGTGTGGTGTCTGTGTGATGGAACTATCAAAAAACAAGCTTGAAACTGAATTTCAAATCTTATAATGATCATACTGTATCTTTCTTTGTAGATGTCCAAGGCAGACTTCATTCGAAACAATCGAGGCATAGATGATGGAAAAGACTTACCAGAAGAGTATCTTGGTTCGTTATATGACAACATTGTGAAAAATGAAATAAAGATGAATGCTGATACTGTAGCTCCACAGAATAAACAGGCAAACAGTGTCAACAAGCTATTAGGTTTGGACAGCATTCTCAATTTAGTCACTTGGAAGCAAGTGGAAGAAAAACCATTAGGCACTAGTGATACGCTTTTGCGGCATATTCAGGAGCAGTTTAAAGCTAAGGCTGGCAAGTCAGAGTAAGTTAAGGCTCGTTTTTGTCTTGTAAATCAAGTATCTCTTTGCTACTTTGACAGTTAACCATCAAAAAGAGAGAATCTATTTGCATTTTGCAACTTTAGATGAAAATATCACTTTCATAATATTGCAGGTGTGTCTACTATGCTGTCACGGATGTAGCAATTCTGAGATTCATGGTGGAAGTTTGCTGGGCTCCCATGATGGTTGCATTTAGTGTAACTCTTGATCAGAGTGATGATAAGATTGTAACATTTCAGTGCTTGCAAGGCTTTCGTCATGCAGTTCATGTGACTGCTGTGATGTCCATGCAGACTCAAAGGGATGCTTTTGTTACCTCAGTTGCAAAGTTTACATATCTTCATTGTGCTGCTGACATGAAACAAAAGAATGTGGATGCTGTAAAGGTATGGGTTCTCATTTCGTGGGATTAGCATTCTTGCCGTTTTGAGTTTATGATTCCAATTTTTTTTAAAGTCTATGTGAGTGGGTCAGATATCTGTCAATGGCACTATGTTCATCATTTCCCCTAAATATTAGCTTTTGAAAGACTAGATGCTCTGTGATCTGGACGTAAATTGTTGACTTTTTCTTTTATACACTGTATATCGGGTGGTGTATCCAGCCATCCCGAAACTGCGTGACTGTGAGATTTGTATATGTGTGACTGTAATTTAAATAGTTTATCAAGCTATTGTCCAGAAGAGTGGTGGCTCTTTGCAAGCTATACCTTTTTGAATGCTATGGTGTTTGGCAGTCCAATGCACCGATAATGACTTTTACTAATGTCTACGCTCATGAGAATTGAACCTGGCTGGATCATCGAGATGCTACCTTGGCATCTCTCTGTATGTTTTATTTTATTTTCTGTTGTACTTTTTTCTAGATGGTTTTTTTTGCCAATTGAAGGAAAAGACTTGAAAGCCATACTTTACCTGTTCACTATTAGCATGGTTCATGCATATGCTAGCATTGTCTTTCATGGGAACTTCCTATTGTAGTGCTTCTGTAATGTAACCATTTCGTACATCGTAACAGACATTACCTTAATATGCTACACCTAGTTTGGTGCTTATAGCCCTTCCTTTGAAGCAATATTGCCTCCTGTGAAATTAAAACGGGATCAGAACACTGATATTGCACATAATTTTCTTAGAATTTCGTTCCCTGTTAATTTATGAGCTAACAAATTGCACATATTTCTTTAGAATAATGCCTGGCTACTATTGGTGGTAAAGTCACCACAATGTTACAATTAACTCTTATGCTTTTTTTTGTCAATGATTATTGCTCTTGTATGGAGTGGTTGCCTTCTTGTTTAAGTTGACTTATTTCATGCATTCCCATTCTACAGGCCATCATATCCATTGCTATTGAAGATGGAAACTATCTCCAGGAAGCATGGGAGCACATCCTGACCTGTCTATCTCGGTTCGAGCATTTACAGTTACTGGGAGAAGGTGCCCCGCCAGATGCATCGTTCTTTGCTGTACCTCAAACTGAAGTGGAGGAAAAACCTCCAAAATCACCTATGCTTCAGTTACTTAAGAAGAAAGGACCAGTTCTTCAGAATCCATCTGTAGTGGCTGTTGCTAGAGGGGGTTCATATGATAGTACAGCTCTGGGACTTAATGCTTCGGGGATGGTAACTCCAGAACAGATAAATAACTTGATGTCTAACCTAAACCTATTAGAACAAATTGGGACTTTCGAGCTGAACCATATATTTGCGCACAGTCAAAGGTTGAACAGTGAGGCAATAGTTGCATTTGTAAAGGCCCTTTGTAAAGTTTCTATTGCAGAGTTGCAGTCTCCAACAGAGCCTCGGGTTTTTAGTCTCACAAAAATAGTTGAAATAGCGTAAGTCATCTTTTGATCTCATGGAAATTACATGAGAGATACAATGTGAATGTTGGGTGCCTTTGTTTCTCACTGAAAACCTACATCTTAATCTGCAGGCATTACAATATGAACCGAATCAGATTGGTGTGGAATCGAATATGGAATGTTCTTTCAGACTTTTTTGTTGCAGTTGGATGTTCAGAGAATCTCTCGGTTGCTATTTTTGTGATGGATTCATTGCGGCAGTTGTCCATGAAGTTCTTAGAACGTGAGGAGCTGGCAAATTACAACTTCCAGAATGAATTTTTGAGACCTTTTGTTACTGTTATGCAGAAGAGTGGCTCTGCTGAAATTAGAGAGTTGATTGTTCGTTGTGTTTCTCAAATGGTCTTGGTTCGTGTCAACAATGTGAAGTCAGGCTGGAAAAGTGTTTTTATGGTATGTCGAAATTATTGTGTGCTTGACCAGTAATTAATTTTATGATTTCATTATATTATTTTTCCCCATATTGTCTTCTTTTCTCTTGCCATTTGTTCACTTTAATATCATTTACAAATATTCTTTTACAGGTTTTTACCACTGCCGCTGCAGATGAACGCAAGAACATTGTCCAACTTGCTTTCGAGACTATTGAGAAAATTGTTCGTGAATATTTTCCTTACATAACAGAGACTGAGACAACAACTTTCACAGACTGTGTTAAGTGCCTCATTACGTTTACAAACAGCAGATTTAATAGTGATGTCAGCCTCAATGCTATAGCATTCCTTCGGTTCTGTGCTGTAAAACTTGCAGAAGGAGGACTAATATGTTACGAGAAGAGCAAGGATTTGGATTCACCTACAAGTGTGAATGGAGATTTGCTAGACAAACATAAATTTACAGAAAAAGATGAGTATGTGTACTATTGGGTACCTTTGCTCACAGGTAATTATCCCATTACCAGTTATAGGTTATGTAGTGTGCATGAAGCTCCTTCTTCACATTCCTGATGCACGCTTACTTGTAACAAACTTTGGTACTCGATATGATTACTCTTTCAGGTTTATCAAAGCTCACATCAGACCCAAGATCTGCTATAAGGAAAAGTGCATTAGAAGTTCTTTTTGACATTCTTAGAGATCATGGACATCTTTTCTCGCTAGCATTTTGGATCAGAATTTTCCGATCTATTGTTTTCCCTATATTCAACAATGTGCCACTCCATAGGGCAACTGCCCAAATGAATGAACTTAATGAAGATTCTTGGAGCTCTGAAACTTGTGCAGTGGCAGCCCAACTTCTTGTAGATCTGTTTGTAAAATTCTTCATTGTACTTCGATCATTGTTACCCAACATTGTCGCCATTGTGACAAGTTTGATGAAGAGCCCCCACCAAAGATTTGCTAGTGTTGGAATAGCTGCTTTTGTTCGCCTAGCAAGCAATTTGGGCAGTTCCTTTTCAGAAAAGGACTGGGAAAGCATTCTGATGTCTTTCAAAGAGTCAGCTGCATCCACTATACCTGAGTACCTGCAAGTCGTGAAGTGCATGAGTGTCGTTGAGATACCTGATACTTCAGAGGCAAATTCTGAAAATGAATTGTTTTCTGATCAAGGATTGACTTGGGATTTGGTGGAGGATGAGAGCCTAAGGTTAGCAGCAAATGCAGTGGCTAAAATGAAGGCTCATGTTTCTGTGCAACTCCTTGTGGTTCAGGTACTTACTCAATCGTTTTCATTCCTTTTCTTAATTTGTGCCTCAAAGCTGCATTCTATTTCTTTTACATTTGCACTAGTGTAGATGGGTGGATTTCTGACTATTTGTCTGCTATTGATATCGCCTTCCCATGTTTGCTTGGAATAGTGAAACCCTGTGTAGAAACCCCTTTATTTTATCATATTCTTTGTTGAAACTGAATTGTTTTTATGCTCTTTATCATATTCTTTGCACTTTTCAGTAGATAATTCAAGATTGTGATGCCTACCTATGTTTATTCGAAGACAATCAGCATACATGTTTGGCTATCAATGAAAATTTTGGACGGCTAATGGTCAAGACCCCATTTGACTCTTACCATGCCATAGTCCATCCATTGGATTGTGATATAAGTTTGCCATTTTCAAATTTCACCATTTTATTACCGAGAACATCTTTCTTACCTAAAAAGATTGAGGACATCTTATCTTTCTCTTTTTCAGGTCATCACAGAGTTGTATAAGGCACATCGCCAGCATTTATCAGCAGCCAACATACTGATATTCTTGGAAGTGTTATCTTCTATAGCAACTCATGCGCATGAAGTAAACTCCAATGTCACTCTAAATCGGAAGCTTCAAAAAGTGGCCTCCTATTTAGAGGAATCTGATCCACCTGTTCTCCACTTTGAGAATGAATTGCACCAAAATTATCTCAATTTCTTGCAGCTTCTTCTCACCGACAACCCATCTCTGTCACAGGAGATTGGTGTGGAATCTCGGTTAGTTTCGGTTTGTGTAAAGATTCTTGAACAATACCTGAACTGTGCTGATTCCAAATCAAAGAGGGAGCTTCAGAATAGCCAGAAGGTCCTCTATTGGTTAGTTCCCTTGGGTTCTTCAAAGAAAGAAGAATTGGCCGCTCGAACCCCATTGGTGGTGATTTCGTTGAAAGTTTTGAGTAATTTTGAGAGGGAATCATTTACAAAGTATTTATCCCTCTTCTTTCCATTGTTAGTGGATTTGATCAGATGTGAACACAGCTCAGGAGAAGTTCAGCGTATTTTAAGTGACATTTTCCAGTCCTCCATAGGTCCAATATTAATGCACTTGTGATATATCCTTCATTGAGTGAGGTACAACCATTCCTTTTTCCCTTCTTTGGGTTCTCATTTTGTAGGGTAGGAGCCAAATGTGGTTATTGTACAGTAGGCATTTATTTATATGGATATCGCCTAAGTGAATCAGCTCCGCATATCTTTGAGCACTTGAACGTGATGCCATTCTGGAAATAAGTTGTGAAATCCAATTGAATTCTAATATAGTGCAGCCATATCAGTCCTATCAGATGCTTAATTTTTTCCTGCCCTTTTGGTTTAGTATGCCTCTATCTAGATGTCAATTTTATAATTGCTTATTATTTTTTGGTAGGTATAATTACTTGTTATGGGGCAGAATTCTCATATTTTCTTCTTTAGTGGTATCATTACAGATTTTATTTGTTGTATTTTAAGGTTAGGGTTGTGGAAGTTCTATTTGGTACTCTCATTTGTGAGGCATATCTCAGTATGGCCCAGAGGGCATCTGATAATTCTTGTTTATTTCCCTAATGGACACTAGATTATCTGACCTCAGTAATGAGTTTCAAACATCGTGTACGATGCCATCTTTTATTTTTGAACCAGGTTAGTGATTTCAAATTTCAATAATGCCTAACGAAACATGTGTTGCCTTCACAACAGGACATTGATATCTGATGCATGGTAGGATTTTTAGAGCTCTTGAGGTATCTAGTCCAATTCTATATGTACACTTTCTGTTCTCATCCCTTTTGAAATGTGGATTGAAAAGGTCTTTAAAGATATTCAAGACAGATTGAATATATCACCATCCACATTGTATTACTATCATATATTTATTTTCCCATGACTCTATCTCTTGCTTTCTGCCTCTCTCTTCTTCATGGTAGGTAAGTGATGGGATTGGAATCGATGATGTTCTGTTGCAGTTTCACAGCCTGAACTACCGAGCCGCGAGCCCCTGGCTGTGGCTCCTCATCATTCCGACTTCCAAGTATCACATCTCTTCCTTGTTTTCCTGTATAATATATGTTTTTTTATGAAAAACAACTTCCTTATGCTCGCATAAGGAAAATTGGTTAAATTTGGGAAACAATAATTAAGAAGGAAAATAAATGCCAATGGGTTTATGTAACGGTTCATCAACATGCCTTTTGTTACAAAAAATGGCAAACTCATCTTCCCTCACTTTTTATCAAGGTTTTAAAAAACGTTAGGCGACCTACCTGGCGCCATGCGGTGCAAATTCTTAGTTTTTTTTTTATTATATATATATATATTTGTTATCCAAATATACATATATGCATATATTTGTGTCAAAATTTTTAATTTATTCCAAAATTTGAATTATACAAAACATTTAAAAGTCTAATAGGCTACTGTAAGGACTCCCAACTCTCAAATTCAGAAATTCTCCATATTGGCATGTTCCATATCCATAAAATAAACCATAATAACATCCAAGATTCCAAGTCTCTAACTTTTGAAGTCATCAACAAATTGACTTTCAAAATTATAGAAAAACCAGTAAACCGCACAACGAAGTAGTCCAGAAAGGCAAAAAAATTACAAACCACATAACTAAATAAAAATCGTTCAGACGCCAAATGTCTAAAGTCTAAACCAAGATGGTGCAATAAAGTATTAAAGTTACTTCAAAAGAAGAAAGAAGAAAATTAAGACATCAATAAAAATCAGAATCATCATCTTCATTGTTTTCATCTGTATCAGAATTGAGGCCGTCATCATCTGAATCATCACCCTCTTCAACATATTCTTCTTCGAGAGAGATTCTTTTGAATCTACCTCCTCCTCCATTTTTCTCTGTGAAGTACCAACAGAAGAAGTTGTTCGAGTGACCTTCTTGGGATCATAAGCTTGCCTTGAAGCCTCCTCAACCATTTCCCATGTCAAACCCTCTTCAGGGAAGACCTCCTCAGTACCAGGGTCACTAACTAGCCAATCTGAAGCATTCTCCATGTCTTTCGAAGAGATAGGGTCCTTCTTTGGTTGGTTTTTCATCTCCTTGAGCATTTGATTCTCACTAACAAAAACAAAGTCATTGAGCTTCCTTTGCTCAAGCCTATTCTTCTCTTTGTATGCATCTATACAGAAAAATAATGCATAAATAACTACTATAGGTCTATGATCTTCTTACCTTTTATGAATCTATATTACAAAATGAATATGAACTTATAAACAAAAAAGCATATAAAATTTTATTCCTTTAAAATAGTAAAATAGTAAAATATCATCTCAAACAAACTCCAATTGCGCTCACAACTAGAAGAGATAGTTGTCAAACTCAAGATCCGCATAACCATCTTCTGGAGGTTTGGAGCGTTACTTCCATGTTGTCTCGACCATTGGGATGCAATATGCGGGTACCTTTTATAATTAATTTAGATATTTAACATTATCAGTACTTGAAAGAAAATTATAAATTTATATTTTACAAAACAAAAGTACATAAGTGAAAAGAATATTACCTGGTTCGTCTTTGTTTCTCTACCTTAATGTCATATCTTTCCCAAATAACATCAAAAAACACTTGTACGAAATTAGCTCTTCAATTGATATCTTATTTTGGATACTTGGATCAGGAAGTAATATCTCAATGGACTCATTAAAACTATCCATAATTACTTTTTGACTCAATATCTGCATTTGTATAAAAGAATTTAGGGTTCAAGTGGTACCCCGCTGCATGCAATGGTCTATGGAGCTGTCTATCCCATTTATCATTTATAATCTCCCAAATTGGGACATACTTTGCTGCATCATTGCTTAAATTCTCTGCAATCTCATTTTTAGCCCTTTCCATTGCATCATATGTAAAGACCACGGAAGGATTATCAGCATCAACAAAGCGCAAGACCTTCACCAAGGGAAGAAATACTAATATCGCATGCTTCACCCCACGCCAAAAATATTTCGAAAAAATAATATATCGTGTCTTCTTACCCTTGGCATCTCTAGACCACTTACACCTACTCCACTCATCTGAAGCAAACATAGACCTTAATGCGATCTTCCTCTTATACATGCTCTGTAGACTAAGGTAAGTAGTGGTAAATCTAGTGATCCCAGGCTTCACTAGCTCTCTCTTTTTTGTAAACTTGCGCATCATGCTTAGGGTAAGTATGTGAGTATGTGACTGTATATGAAGATTGTAACTTCCTTAGCCTTAAAATAATTCTTTTAATGGGAGGCAATTCACCAATTGCCTCAAGCATAAGATCTACACAATATGCAGCGCAAGAAATCCAAAATATGCGAGGCCTCTTTTGTCGAAGCAAATGACCTGCAGCTAGATTGGGGGAGCAGCATTATTTGTGACCATTTGAATTACATGTTCCTCTTCAACCTCCTCAATACCCTTATCAATGAAAGAAAATATATACTGCGCATCATGAATATTATTGGAAGCATTGATTGAGCGTAAAAAACTGTACCCGTGGGAACTAGCTGTTTCAAATCAACAATAAAGGCATTGGTTTGGAACTTCGAGCTCCAAATCATTTTTTTATACACAAAAACATTGGTTTGGAACTAACAACTCCGAACTGATGTAAGAGACGTTGGTTAACACCTGTTAGTTCCAAATTAAGGGCATTTTGGAAGGAAAAACGAAGAAGTTATGAATATAAAATACAAAACATCTAAATATCAAGAACATTTTAATTTCCGCCGGGTATATCAGCACAAATTACCATTGTTTAAACATGCTATTCAAAGAGGAAAGGAACATCCTTCTTATTTCCAAAAGAAAAACATATGCCGCAACTTTGAAAAAGCTTAATTAAGCTGCTTTAGATTCAAGCTGCTTGTTATCTTGTGCGTATGAGCTTCTCTTCGCTCTTGAAGCCTATTTCGAAGAAAAGACCCAAAGCCCAAAGGAGGGTGTTTGAATGATAAACTGGTGGCGTCTAATGCCAGATCACATGCAACTCTTGCTTTAGTTCAGCAGCTTATTTGTCACATTATGACTGAGGTTATCCTAACTATCCATTTAGATCGTATAGCTCGGAGATGAAAGATACAAGTAAAATATATACTAGAGGAGTTTCCCTTAGAAAAAGTTTATTCAAGCTGCTTGTTATCTTGTGTGCATGTGCTTCTCTTTGCTCTTGAAGCCTATTTAAGAGAAGACAACAAAACCCACAGTACGATCGCAACTGTTTGAATGATAAATTGGTACCACATGCAACTCTTGTCTAGACCAGCAATAGCTTAGACTAGCCATAGCTACCCACCTGCAATAGATTTCTCCACCCACCTGCAATAGATTTCTCCACTAGCAATAGCGTAGAACAACAATAGCTACCCACCTGCAATAGATTTCTCTCCACGTGAAGAGCGAGCAACTCTTCTTCTTGCTCTGATGCAGGGGAAGAGTGGCTTGAGCATAGGTGTGAAGACCTAAAATCAACATCATTCTACTCGTAAATAGCCTCAGTAGAACCTAGCGCTCCTCCCTGATTCATGAATCATTGGATTGACCTTCCCGATCAATCAAGAGCTGAAGTTGGCTGGGTCTCGTTTCCTAACCAACGGTTAAGGTGTCAACTATATTATGTAGAAGTACAATGCACCTCAAAGATCCACCTGATAAAGGTTTCGTGATCTACTCGATCTTGAGATATACAGATGTGAAAAAAATGATTTCAAGTATTAAAAATAATGCATCTTGTAAAACAATATTTGGACAAATTATTTTCAAATTTTTCACAGATTTGTTATGAAATTTTAAATTTCATGGGTGAAGATAGATGTTAGCCCATCATAAATGTTTATTAAACTAAAACTTTATATTGTATGAAACTCTAGAGGTGCGCATTACTTATTATTTAAGGTTGATACGTTGAACCACTAGCTATTGCTTTGAATGCTATTTCTCCTGCAGGAGCAAATTATAGTCTTACTCTTTTGAGTGCAAAAAATCTACTTTAGGGGGACCCCAAATGCATTCTTTACTGATCTCGGAGGTTGATCCATAAGAGGAAACTTTAATTTTGTCCTACATGGATGATCCAGGTGAATGCTTGCTCCAAGAGTGAATCAAAAGTATGCTTTTGATGGATGGTCAGATCTAGGTCTTGAAGAAATCAAACCTTTTTTTCCCCCCTCTTTTCTTTTGTGTGCAAGCAGACGCAACCTACTTAGAAGGTAAGGTGTTAACCCAAAGATAGCGATAAGCTCTGATTCGCCCTCTCGCGCATAATGGCGAGCTTTGCTTGGGCGGTCGCCAGAGCAGTGATCAGC